GCACTGTGTTGTTGTAATGTATTTATATATATATATATATATATATAATTTATTTTTTTTTTTTTTTTTTCCAGTTAATGTTTATTTTGTTAAGTTATTATAAGTTATTATTTGTTTGTTTTTGTTTAGCCTCATTGGTTGCATTTTCTGTCTTTGTGACTTTGTCATATTGGTTGTGTTTGTGTGTTTAGGTCATATCCTCAGCGATGGTGGAGACGGGTGTACGTGGAAGAGTTCTATCCCATGGTGCACCTCGGTGACTCTTACCTTGAACAGATGTTGGTTCAACATGGTTTAAAGGTAAGAAACAAGTCTGCTGTCAAAAGTGAAAGTGTAATTAAATTGGGACACATTTTGAATATCGATAACCTCAGAGGAGTACAAACAGACCTAAAGTTGACCGTCTGTTATCTGCAGGGTAGTTTGATTCAACAAACAGTATTTTTTAATCATTTTACTTGAACATGCACAAGCATAGATAAATACAGACATTTAATAGCTGACATAAAGAGACAATGTGTGTTTGTATTATTTATGGAGAGATGATATAACGAGGAGGAATCTAAATGAAACCATGTCGTTAAAATATTGTTTGCACAAAAAACATGCCACTTTAATGCTTTGTAATATTTTTAATAAACATACACTGGTATAAGTGTTGGTATTTACAAAGATTTAACTATTTTGTGAGCGGTATAGCTTAGTACCTCACAATTTAAAGTAGAATTAATTTTATCTTCAGTCTATATATGAATATAGGGCTTGACAATGTGGGAAAAAAACAACCAAAATTGTGATAAAAAAATAAAAAAAATCTCTTATTTATCTAATCTATCTTAACTGCTTATATTTCACTATGGCTATGAATCATTTTGAATACAATTAATAATAATATAAACATTACAGAAAAATAAGAAATATTACTATTGTAATATTTCACTGTAAAAATGTTTGTATTTAAAAATATATGTTTTTAGTTTTAATTTCTTTTTTGATTAGTTGTGCAGCCTTAAGATAATGAATGAATAATGAATACATGAATATACACAAGATAAAGTATTGGATATTAAAAATAATGTTTTTCTTTGTTGATATGATTTGCTTCCCTCAATATATTTTATATCAGGAAATTAAAACTAGTGTATATACAGGTGCATCTCAATAAATTAGAATGTCGTGGAAAAGTTCATTTATTTCAGTAATTCAACTCAAATTGTGAAACATATATATATTTTTTTTTTTTTTTTTAATGCTATTACTATCCATTGCTTTGATGTTTTTGGCCTATTGGCTGAAGTCAAAAGAGTTGACCCTCAAATATTTATTATGTTTTGGTCTCTAGATATGGCTCTGCTCACTCCTTCTCACTCACAAAGTCATGTCTTGATTAATGAAGATTTAATGCTCTTGACTTGGTTTTAAATGTCATTTAGATCGCTTTCTTTTTGTCCTGCAGGAGAAAGCTCCTCCGAGGCGCAGCTCGAATGCTTGGCTGCCGCAGTTATTGCATCATGTTGGTGAGCATGCCCGTGAGATGCCGACTCCTCTTCTGCTCTGGACTCTCTTCAGCTCGGCAGCGACCGTGTGTCTCCTCAACTCTCTGCGATCACGTGCACGTCATCACCAGCACGAATCGCTCCAGAACAAACACGCAGATAAACAGGTCACAGGATGGACGCACTCCAATGTGGCACAAGAGGATGCGAAGAAACAGGAGGAGGAGAAGGATGATGCAGAGGAAGATAGAAAAGAGCAGGAAGAAGATGCAACAAGTGAGGAAGAACAGGAAGGAGATATTGAAGAGGAAGTGAACACAGAGGAAACGGATGTGGACAGCCTCAGGAAAAGGAAGTGAGGTTTTTTCAAATAATCGTCTGTGGCTTTAAATGAAATTCTGGACTCTAATACCAGCTCAGGGTAATGACATCTACCACAAAACATCAGCACTTACACCCTCGTTGTGTCAAAACATTGACTCTTCTCTGTTTTCACAGGCAGTTTTGAGAGATGTAGGCAGTGTAGTGACGCATTCATGTTTCCCAGTAGTGTCCTGGATGTACCCGCCAGTTTAATTCAACTAAAATGGGTTGAAGGGCCACACTGCAAAACTTTTGTCGTATGGATTGCTCTGACAGGTAAATAAAGTAGGTTATTGTTTTTCCCAGTATGCACTTAACTGCTTGCACCCTACATATATAAAAACAGCAGGATGTCTTCCACCATGAGACCTAAAAATAACTGTAAGAAACTACATTTAAATGCACATACTGGACCTCATTAAACAGAAGAGGGAAATTTATGTTTTTAAAATCATCCTTACATAAATTACACTTTGAATGCAACAGAATGCCAAAAACAGCACTTTTATGAACAATTTAGACAGACATTATTTTGTTCAGCTTGTGTTTTATGAATGAAGCCCAGTATGTGCTGTGCCTTACGGTACACCAAGAGCATCACAGAAATCTAGATATCAGAAAATATGACTTTCACTTCGACTGTCATCTTGTACAGGTGGTGTTATATGTCATGAAATTGTTTATCGGACTGTAACTGGTTATGGTCTGTGATATTTGTGTATTGTATTGTATTGTATTGTAATAACATATTTGACCACTGTGGTGTAGTATTGCATGTGTATTGTGTTAATATGAGTGAAGATGTGCAAAAAAACAACACTCGGCTTTAATGTTTTGTAACATTTTTAATAAACGTAGAAAAATATACAGTGACACAAGCACCATTATTTCCAAAGAAATGTTAATTTGAAACAATTTAAAGTAAAATTAATTTTATCTTAAATTACATACGAATACATAAGATTTAGTCTAATGTAATGACAGTCAAGTCAAGTCAAGTCACCTTTATTTATATAGCGCTTTTAACAATACAGATTGTGACAAAGCAACTGAACAGCATTAATTAGGAAAATAGTGTCAATAATGCAAAATGACAATAGTAAACACTCATTTTTCAGTTAAAGACAGTTCATCATTGAATTCAGTGATGTCAACATCCAGCTCAGTTCAGTTTAAATAATATCTTTGCAATTATGTCAACGATAACGCTGGAAATGAAGTGTCCCCAACTAAGCAAGCCAGAGGCGACAGCGGCAAGGAACCAAAACTCCATCGGTGACAGAATGGAGAAAAAACCTTGGGAGAAACCAGGCTCAGTCGGGGGGCCAGTTCTCCTCTGACCAGACGAACCAGCAGTACAGAAAAATCAATATAAGACGTAATAAAACAGATGATGAATAATATTAACAGCAATTATTATATGATGCAATCAAACTTATAGCAAAATGTGGTAGTTGTGTATGTTGTTTCAGGGTTGGCATCATCTGAGGTCCTCTGAGGGGTTGCATCATCTCTTCTCAGGTGTTCTGGATCCAGACTGAAGCTTGTGTGAATCCTAGTTACCACGGGATGTTAATCCCGTGGCAAAAGACAGAGAAACAAATACAAACATAATTAGCGTAGCTGCTGTTCCAACCAAGCAAAAATGATTTGTTTAACCCAAACTAATGAATAATAATGTGCATTTGATTAGATATAACTGCAGTAAAAGATTATGACTGCAGTAAAAGATTATGAGATGCATTATTTGAATGCTTGGCCAAAGAGATGTGTCTTTAATCTAGATTTAAACAGAGAGAGTGTGTCTGAACCCCGAACGTTATCAGGAAGGCTATTCCAGAGTTTGGGAGCCAAATGTGAAAAAGCTCTACCTCCTTTAGTGGACTTTGCTATCCTAGGTACTACCAAAAGTCCAGAGTTTTGCGACCTTAGGGAGCGTGATGGATTGTAGCGTGGTAGAAGACTAGTTAGGTATGCAGGAGCTAACCCATTAAGGGCCTTATAGGCAAGTAATAATATTTTGTAACTGATACGGAACTTAATAGGTAGCCAGTGCAGAGACTGTAAAATTGGGGTAATATGATCATATTTTCTTGACCTGGTAAGGACTCTAGCCGCTGCATTTTGGACTATCTGTAGCTTGTTTATTGAAGATGCAGGACAACCAGCTAGAAGTGCATTACAATAGTCCAGTCTAGAGGTCATGAATGCATGAACTAGCTTTTCTGCATCAGAAACAGGTATCATGTTTCGTAACTTGGCAATGTTTCTAAGATGGAAGAATGCCGTTTTTGTAACATGGGAAATATGATTTTCAAAAGACAAGTTGCTATCTAATATAACACCCAGATTTTTGACTGTAGAGGAAGTAACCGTGCATCCGTCTAGTTGCAAATTGTAATCCACGAGATTCGGCGTACTGTCTTTTGGTCCAATAAGTAATATCTCTGTCTTATCCGAATTTAATAGGAGAAAATTATTGGTCATCCAATCTTTTACATTTTTAACACACTCCGTTAGCTTAGATAATTTAGAAGTTTCATCTGGTCTTGTTGAGATATATAGTTGAGTATCATCGGCATAACAGTGGAAACTAATCCCGTATTTCCTAATAATATTACCAAGTGGCAACATGTATATCGAAAATGTGACTATATAAGATAAAGTCTTGGATAGTCATAATTAATATTTCTTTTTATTTTACATTGTAGGAAAGATTCCCACAGTTTAAATTAAACTAGTTTTATTGACACCTTGTTCATCATTTTATTTTATTTTATTTTAATTTAATTTATTGTTTATTTTATTTAGTTTTATCTGAAGAAAATTCCAAAGTGCCAAAGTTTCATGGGTGGTTTCTAATTGGCTGTAGTTATTTCACCCATTTTTATTGACCACAGAGCAAAAGCTATACATTATTTAAAGTGTCATTCATTGAGTGTCTCACTGAAATAGGACGTATTCGTAGAATTCTAGAACATGTTCATCAGTGCAGTATCACGGGGCGGTACTTATCAATGAGAGACTGATAATACGGCCTCAGACGCTCCACGTCCGGTAGTTCAGTGCTCTTGGTGTACAAGTCAAACTTGCTGTCAGAGGAAAGACAAACAGACGTACGTTATTGATCAGCCTGCAGAAACTCTCAGTGAGAGGTCAGACCTTCAATATGTGGGTCATACACACAAACCAGATCTCATTGAGAAACTCGTGACATACTTAAACTCTCTGACCCAGGGCAGCATCTGCAGGTCTTTCTCGCTGCATAAGTGCATGTAGTCTCCTTTTGCAGCTCGTTTCTTCATTTGCATGTGTTGTGAGGATTTGCGTTTCTTCATTTGCATGTGTTGTGAGGATTTGCGTTTCTTCATTTGCATGTGTTGTGAGGATTTGCAGCTCGTTTCTTCATTTGCATGTGTTGTGAGGATTTGCAGCTCGTTTCTTCATTTGCATGTGTTGTGAGGATTTGCAGTGTTTCTTCATTTGCATGTGTTGTGAGGATTTGCAGTGTTTCTTCATTTGCATGTGTTGTGAGGATTTGCAGCGTGTTTCTTCATTTGCATGTGTTGTGAGGATTTGCAGCGTGTTTCTTCATTTGCATGTGTTGTGAGGATTTGCAGCATGTTTCTTCATTTGCATGTGTTGTGAGGATTTGCAGCGCGTTTCTTCATTTGCATGTGTTGTGAGGATTTGCAGCGTTTCTTCATTTGCATGTGTTGTGAGGATTTGCAGCGCGTGTGTTGTCAAACTGATGAAGATGTTTTCTTAATTTGCTGGTGTTTTTTCAATTTGCATGTGTTTTCTTAAGTTGCAGCGCGTTGAGCTCTCTCGGCCACCGTACAATGCACTGTTTTATTGTTGTACGTAATACTTGCAATACTTCTGAAGCAACTTAGAATACATTACACCTACTAGCTTGTAGTATCTTTGGAATAAAGAGCTTTTAGAATGTTAAAAACCTATGGGGGAAAAAATTAACACCCCTACCCACCCCTACAAAAGCAGGATGATCTCACAGTGATCTCACACAGCTCTGACAGTGTGTGTGCACACATCTATGTGTAACCATTTGTCCACATTTGAACAGAGTGGACAGTGAAATCCTGTAAATACATAGTCAAGTCAAGTCACCTTTATTTATATAGCGCTTTTAACAATACAGATTGTGACAAAGCAACTGAACAGTATTAATTAGGAAAATAGTGTCAATAATGCAAAATGACAATAGTAAACACTCATTTTTCAGTTAAAGACAGTTCATCATTGAATTCAGTGATGTCAACATCCAGCTCAGTTTAAATAATATCTTTGCAATCATGTCAACGATATCGCTGGAAATGAAGTGTCCCCAACTAAGCAAGCCAGAGGCGACAGCGGCAAGGAACCAAAACTCCATCGGTGACAGAATGGAGAAAAAACCTTGGGAGAAACCAGGCTCAGTCGGGGGGCCAGTTCTCCTCTGACCAGACGAACCAGCAGTACAGAAAAATCAATATAAGACGTAATAAAACAGACGATGAATAATATTAACAGCAATTATTATATGATGCAATCAAACTTGTAGCAAAATGTGGTAGTTCTGTATGTTGTTTCAGGGTTGGCATCATCTGAGGTCCTCTGAGGGGTTGCATCTTCTCTTCTCAGGTGTTCTGGATCCAGACTGAAGCTTGTGTAAATCCTAGTTACCACGGGATGTTAATCCCGTGGCAAAAGACAGAGAAACAAATACAAACATAATTAGCGTAGCTGCTGTTCCAACCAAGCAAAAATGATTTGTTTAACCCAAACTAATGAATAATAATGTGCATTTGATTAGATATAACTGCAGTAAAAGATTATGACTGCAGTAAAAGATTATGAGATGCATTATTTGAATGCTTGGCCAAAGAGATGTGTCTTTAATCTAGATTTAAACAGAGAGAGTGTGTCTGAACCCCGAACGTTATCAGGAAGGCTATTCCAGAGTTTGGGAGCCAAATGCGAAAAAGCTCTACCTCCTTTAGTGGACTTTGCTATCCTAGGTACTACCAAAAGTCCAGAGTTTTGTGACCTTAGGGAGCGTGATGGATTGTAGCGTGGTAGAAGACTAGTTAGGTACGCAGGAGCTAACCCATTAAGGGCCTTATAGGCAAGTAATAATATTTTGTAACTGATACGGAACTTAACAGGTAGCCAGTGCAGAGACTGTAAAATTGGGGTAATATGATCATATTTTCTTGACCTGGTAAGGACTCTAGCCGCTGCATTTTGGACTATCTGTAGCTTGTTTATTGAAGATGCAGGACAACCACGTAGCAGTGCATTACAGTAGTCCAGTCTAGAGGTCATGAATGCATGAACTAGCTTTTCTGCATCAGAAACAGGTATCATGTTTCGTAACTTGGCAATGTTTCTAAGATGGAAGAATGCCGTTTTTGTAACATGGGAAATATGATTTTCAAAAGACAAGTTGCTATCTAATATAACACCCAGATTTTTGACTGTAGAGGAAGTAACCGTGCATCCGTCTAGTTGTAAATTGTAATCCACGAGATTCGGCGTGCTGTCTTTTGGTCCAATAAGTAATATCTTTGTCTTATCCGAATTTAATAGGAGAAAATTATTGGTCATCCATTCTTTTACATTTTTAACACACTCCGTTAGCTTAGATAATTTAGAAGTTTCATCTGGTCTTGTTGAGATATATAGTTGAGTATCATCGGCATAACAGTGGAAACTAATCCCGTATTTCCTAATAATATTACCAAGTGGCAACATGTATATCGAAAATGTGACTATATAAGATAAAGTCTTGGATAGTCATAATTAATATTTCTTTTTATTTTACATTGTAGGAAAGATTCCCACAGTTTAAATTAAACTAGTTTTATTGACACCTTGTTCATCATTTTATTTTATTTTATTTTAATTTAATTTATTGTTTATTTTATTTAGTTTTATCTGAAGAAAATTCCAAAGTGCCAAAGTTTCATGGGTGGTTTCTAATTGGCTGTAGTTATTTCACCCATTTTTATTGACCACAGAGCAAAAGCTATACATTATTTAAAGTGTCATTCATTGAGTGTCTCACTGAAATAGGACGTATTCGTAGAATTCTAGAACATGTTCATCAGTGCAGTATCACGGGGCGTTAGTTTTATCTGAAGAAAATTCCAAAGTGCCAAAGTTTCATGGGTGGTTTCTAATTGGCTGTAGTTATTTCACCCATTTTTATTGACCACAGAGCAAAAGCTATACATTATTTAAAGTGTCATTCATTGAGTGTCTCACTGAAATAGGACGTATTCGTAGAATTCTAGAACACGTTCACCAGTGTAGTATCACGGGGCAGTACTTATCAATGAGAGACTGATAATACGGCCTCAGACGCTCCACGTCCGGTAGTTCAGTGCTCTTGGTGTACAAGTCAAACTTGCTGTCAGAGGAAAGACAAACAGACGTACGTTATTGATCAGCCTGCAGAAACTCTCAGTGAGAGGTCAGACCTTCAATATGTGGGTCATACACACAAACCAGATCTCATTGAGAAACTCGTGACATACTTAAACTCTCTGACCCAGGGCAGCATCTGCAGGTCTTTCTCGCTGCATAAGTGCATGTAGTCTCCTTTTGAATGCCATGGGTAGGAGTGGAAGCGGATCATGTAAAGACCCTGTTGGAATTTGGGAGTGTTAAGCATAAATGAAATCACATTGTTTTTGTGTGTTTTAATTGCTTGCTTTTCAGGTGAGCTCTGTGACATTACCTCCTCAGGGATGGTGCATTTGTTGAACTTCATCACCCGGTATAGATACTCTAGAATGGAGCAAGAAGAATGTTCACTGTAGCAAATTCACTACCGCTGAAAAGTCAGTAAGAAATGTTTTGAAAAGAAGTCTCTTATTTTTTACCAAGGCTGCATTTATTTGAACAAAATTACAGTAAGGATAGTATTATTGTGAAATGTTATTACAAATGAAAATAACTGTTTTCTATTGTAATATATTTTAAAATGTAATTTATTCCTGTGATGCATAGCTGAATTTTCAGCATCATTCCTCCAGTCTTCAGTGTCACATGATCCTTCAGAAATCATTCTAATATGCTGATTTGCTGCTCAAGAAAAAAAGTTGTGCTGCTTTATATTTTTGTGGAAATGGTCATATATATATATATATATATATATATATATATATATATATATATATAAATCAGGATAGAAAGCTCAAAATAACAGCCTTTATTTAAAATTAAATAAAGCTATTAATACTTTCAACTGACCTCAAACTTTTGAACGGTAGTATGTTCATGATGCAACATCATGATTGTCTTGTGTGCTAAGATCCCTCAAATCACTCACCATCATGTCCCCAAGACATCAGGACATTATCAAGCCCACATTGTGGTTCATAGATCCCAAACTGTGCTGCAACGAGAGAAACATGCCAACACCACCACATCAGGTAGAATGCTATACAATGTATTTTTACTTTTGATAATTGAAATAAAGCTAAAATAAAATATAAATCTTAAATGTAAAATAAAATGTTGCCTTTGCAACTAACTGAAATAAAACGTTTAAACTGGAGTATTAAAATTACCAAAACAAACTGACATGAACATAAAGCTAAATATTTTTTAAAAATACCAAAACTAAAAAAGGAATAAAATACATTTAATATAAAGATGGCTAAAAGTTAAATTAAAACTATCAAAATATTAACTAATAATATGCACTCACTGTAACAGCATTTAAATAATACTAAAATAACACATTTTTCGATATTTAGAAGATAGAAAGGTGTGGTGCTGTACTTGAGTGCAATCACTCACCATCATGTCCCCAAGACATCAGGACATTATCAAGCCCACATTGTGGTTCATAGATCCCAAACTCTGTGCTGCAACGAGAGAAACATGCCAACACCACCACATCAGGTAGAATGCTATACAATGTATTTTTGCTTTTGATAATTGAAATAAAGCTAAAATAAAATGTAAATCTTAAATGTAAAATAAAATGTTGCCTTTGCAACTAACTGAAATAAAACGTTTAAACTGGAGTATTAAAATTACCAAAACAAACTGACATGAACATAAAGCTAAATATTTTTTCAAAATACCAAAACTAAAAATAGAATAAAATACATTTAATATAAAGATGGCTAAAAGTTAAATTAAAACTATCAAAATATTAACTAATAATATGCACTCACTGTAACAGCATTTAAATAATACTAAAATAACACATTTTTCGATATTTAGAAGATAGAAAGGTGTGGTGCTGTACTTGAGTGTAGGGTTCTTCCCATCCGGATTGTCTTCAAATGTTGAGTCTCTGAACACTTGAATTCTAAAACTTGCATCCCACTGGGAATGTATCTCCATCTACAGCCCACTTAAACACACACAGTGGCATTCTGTATATTATTTATCCCAAGTGACAGTTGTCTTAGGTTTTTAAGACTGATTGGATGCATTTGTCTCTCACCTGTGACTCCCCATGCAGGGCCATGATTTTTCCAATGTCATGGATCAGACCGACTAGCTGGAACCAATCTGGAGATGGGAAAAATGAGAGAAAATTCAGTTGGATTTTAACATTTGACCATATGTAAATATGCACAATGAGCTTTCACATTTGGAAATGGATTTTAGTCCTGAAAGAAGCCCTGCAGGTCTGGACATATTGATCAGAAACTTCACAAAAACAACTTTAGCTTATTGTAACACAAAGTCTTATCTTATAAAATTATTATTATTATATATATTTTTTTTAATTATATACATCTTTTTTTTTGTCTGGTTTTGATACAGAATATAACTTAAAAAATTACATGATGTACAAATTACATATATAAATTAAATTATATATAATATAATCTCTATATGTATATATATATATATATAATATAAACACCAGAAAAAAATAAAAATCTACATCTGTATATTGTAAATATTTTATATAATGTTATTTAAAAAAAAATGTATGTACAGTTTGATTTATGGCATTGATAGACCAACCTTCTGTTTGACAAAGTCCAGTGTTTGGTATGTGTGCATCAGCTTGTATGTATTAAACACACGGTCAAAGAGAGCTCCACTCTGTGTTAGACATGTTCACACATCAAAATGGAAATAAGAGGGTCATATCAAAAGGAATGATACAAGAATATATGAATTAAGAATATGCATAATTCCAAGTTTTACCTCAAAGTTCCTGAATTCTGATTCGTCTTTCTCGTGACATTCGGTGCGATATGCCAGAGAGGGATCTGGACCCTATTAGTTAAAGTTTGTGTGTAAGAGATACAACTATTAAGACTTAGTCTACCAACTCAAACAGTGACACAGTCTGATTGACAGTTTTCAGCATTGCAAAATGATCAAAAATGATTATTCATGTGTAATGCCTACAATTCTGCTTTACACACCATTGAGGAAATTATGATGCATGTATATGAATAATTGTCTGAATGTCAGGTACATACCAGGTTCACCACACTCATGGTTGAGCTGAGATCGTGTTGTTCAGGATGAAGGAGGATGTTGTGTGTGTGGTGTCTCTGACTGCTCTATTTATCAATGCTGCACATATGGGGTCTCTGAACTGTAGTGGGAAAAACACTTTCACTTTCACTTTAACTATCTCCACTTCATTCTATCTGAAGCTTCCAGGGGTCTGACAGTGTGCGTAAATGTGTGTGTTTGAGTGCTCAATACTGGGATATCTTGGCCCAAATACAGTCTGTTTCAGAAAGGACACATTGTATGTAGGCATGGGCCGGTATGAGATTCTGACGGTATGATAACCTTAGATAAAAGAAATATCACGGTATTGCGATTACAGCTCTAAAATATGTTATTTTTAAATGTCTGGGTAAAAAACTACTTTTTTTCCACTGAACACAATACATTTTATTTTTAAGAAACATATTTTGGAACAGTAAACATGTCAGGCTAAATAATTAAAATAAATAATTGAATACTTCTTAATTAAATTAAGTGCAGTCACTTAAGTGAGCCTAAACCTGCAGCTCAACAATAATCAGAACATAAATAAATTATTTTCTGTAAAAAAAAATAAACAACTTCTGAATGAAAAAAAAATGCAGTCACTTAAGTGAACCTAAACCTGCAGCTCAATAATCAAAAACATAAATCAAAACATAATTTCTGTAAAAAAAAATACAAAATAAATCAATCAATAAAAAATGCCACTGAACACAATACATTTTATTTTTAAGAAACATATTTTGGAACAGTAAACATGTCAGGCTAAATAATTAAAATAAATAATTGAATACTTCTTAATTAAATTAAGTGCAGTCACTTAAGTGAGCCTAAACCTGCAGCTCAACAATAATCAGAACATAAATAAATTATTTTCTGTAAAAAAAAATAAACAACTTCTGAATGAAAAAAAAATGCAGTCACTTAAGTGAACCTAAACCTGCAGCTCAATAATCAAAAACATAAATCAAAACATAATTTCTGTAAAAAAAAATACAAAATAAATCAATCAATAAAAAATGTAGTCCTGCAGCTCAACAAGGTTTTTGGAGACATGCTCACTTTCTACACATTCCTCTTTCAGTCCAAGTTATGATGCAGGAATGTTCACCTTTCCTGGATTAAGTTTGGAGCGTTGAGGTACGAGGATGTGTGCACATACACATAAGGAAAGAGAAAGCGAGAGTGTGTTACACACACACACGGTCTTTCTCCATACAACACTCAAACAGTGGCAAAGACCTGAGAGCCAGCAGTTTGTTTGTTTTTTAAATGTCGTGATTTTGAACAGATCTTGATCGGGGGTGAAAGAGGGAGAAATGAAGATGACACAGATATATAATTTATGTATGACCTGGAAGTATTTATTTCTTAATGTTGTAAGAAAGGGTCTCTATTTAGGTAAGAGAGACATCTGACTAAATAATGTCTTTCCCTACGTCCAGTAAGTAAAAAGCACTGTATGTCAAATTAATAGTAGGCTATGTTTGAAAACTCATTATTAGTACAGTACCAATAGGCAAAAATAACCATTACTTACCAATCAATACTTTTATTCAGCAAGGACATATTAATTTGATCAAAAATGCTAGAAAAAGGTTTCTAGCTCAAATAAAAGCTTTTTTTGTTACTTTATATTCATCAAAAATTCCTGGGAAAAGTATTATGGTTTCCCCAAAAATATTAAGCAGCACAACTGTTTTCAACATTGATGATCATATTTCTTAATCAGCAAATCAGCATATTAGAATGATTTGCAAAGGATCATGTGACACTGAAGACTTTGCATCATAGGAATAAATTACTTTTTAAAATATATATTACAATAGAAAACAATAATTTTAAACGGTAATAATATATCTGTTTTTACTGTATTTTTGAACAAATAAATGCCGCCTTGGTGAGCAAAAGAGACTTCCTTTACAGACATTATAAAATCTTACCGACACCAACCATTCGAACAGTAGTGTAACTGTTTATTAAAAATTGGTGTATTTTATCTTATTCTTATTGCTGCTGTTTCCATAAAAGCAGTAAGCCCTAAAGCCCATATGTTACATAGTTGTTTGTTAGTTTTTCTCCACAATTAAGTTTTTTTTTTTTTACTCCAGTGTCTGAGTACTCCAGTATCAGTGTCATTATTTTGTGATGGTTGTCATTGTCGTGGTGGTTATTGATAATATCACTCATGTCACACAATAACCATTTGCATTTGTTTTGTTTATTGAATCAGCTAAATCATATTAAAATACACAGCGCTGACACATAACTACAAACAGTCATTATACACTTGCAAAATATTTACACAAGCTTTTGTTAACTTAGAATTAAATAACATCTCTTCCATTCAAGTCAATGACATTAAAGAAGGAAATCACCTTTAAAGTGCTTAATAGAAAACATTTGACCTATATGTGAACATGAGGATAGCAGACACTCCACCACTGACACACTATGACAAACTGAAGGTGTGTGTGTGTGTGTTTGTTTGGCCAGAGGGTTGTGTTTAAATTTGTTGCCTATGTTTTATTTAGATTGTCGTGGTGGTTATTGATAATATCACTCATGTCACACAATAACCATTTGCATTTGTTTTGTTTATTGAATCAGCTAAATCATATTAAAATACACAGCGCTGACACATAACTACAAACAGTCATTATACACTTGCAAAATATTTACACAAGCTTTTGTTAACTTAGAATTAAATAACATCTCTTCCATTCAAGTCAATGACATTAAAGAAGGAAATCACCTTTAAAGTGCTTAATAGAAAACATTTGACCTATATGTGAACATGAGGATAGCAGACACTCCACCACTGACACACTATGACAAACTGAAGGTGTGTGTGTGTGTGTGTGTTTGTTTGGCCAGAGGGTTGTGTTTAAATTTGTTGCCTATGTTTTATTTATGATTTTTATGTTCTGAGACTGGCATGTGCAACGTACACGATCAGACAGTGTTGAAAGTTTGAGAGCTTTATGGATAAAGATTTGACATTTTAAAAGTTTAAATGGGAATATACAGTGGTCCCAAAAGTTATGTGGACACATAAAGTGGCTGTGTGTAATTTTTCAAAGTGAAAATACTCTCCAATCCTAGTGTAAAGTGCAGAGACAGCTGTAAGTAAGACTTTAATTTCCCTGAAGAGTGTAAACAGTGTGGGTCTGTGATGCTTGTAACATTACGCTGTTGGTTTGAGCAGCCTAACAAGTTGACATCGGCTCAGCCAATGGAGTGAGTTTGAGGAGGGACTATCTGTTTTTCCAGCCAATGGCTGATGGGACGATAGTTCCGGAAACCTGTTTAAAAACAGTTACCATTAAAGGGATAGTTCACCCAGAAATTTAAATTCTGTCATTAATTACTCACCCTCATGTCATTCCAAACCCGTAAGACCCGTTCGGAACACAAATTAAGATATTTTTGATGCATTCTGACAGCTCTCTGTCCCTCCCATAGACAGCAAGGTCCTTACACGATCAACGTCAAGAAACGTTGCAAGGAGATCGGTAAAATAATAATCAAAAATAAAAAGCATCAAAAATATCTCAATTTGTGTTCCGAAGATGAACGGAGGTCTTACAAGTTTGGAACGACATGAGGGTGAGTAATTAATGACAGAATTTTCATTTTGGGGTGAACTAACCCTTTAAGATGACAAAATATTCAAGTGAATGGTATTTGCAAGAAAATACTGAGCTTTTCTCAGAGCTAACTGCACTTTCTGTGGCATTTTTACAATTTGAATCAACTTGTGTAGCTCATTTCATTTAATCTGAATTCAATTTAAACAACTTCAATTTTTCACTGAAAAAAATTGCTCTTTTCTGTATACATCTGTTCAAATATGGGGCCTTTAGTTGCAACGTGTCAGGATTAAAATAATTGTGACATGAGCAATAATCATTGAATTAGAAAGAATCCAAATACATTTTGTCTTCAATTTAAACAGTAGTTTTTTATCCATCTTTCTTTAAGCATACCAGGTTCAACTGTAGTGGGAAAAAACACTTTCAGTTTCAAGTTTGATATTTTATCTAATGCAGTTAGATTCAAAAATAAGTGCAGCTTACAGGATGTTTACTCTTAAGATTTTTTCAGCTTTAGGTGGCTCAGTCAAGGCCGATTTGTCCTGGCTTAGAGAGCGAGAGAAAGAGACGGCAATCTTCTCAAACAGTGTGGGATTACTATAAAGATAATGAAGGTTCAAGTCGATTCATTACAGAAGGGCATGAATTATCAAAAGTGGGAAACCGCTTAGGCGGGACTTTCACCTGAATTTGGCCTTTAGAAAAGGACAATTGATTGTTAAATGGGGACATATAATGTTTACAATTTTATTATCTTCCCTGAGATCCACTAAGTTGTTTTTTTAGTAGTGTTTTCTATTGGTTCCAAAGCTGCATTACTTTAAGACATTAAATAGATTCATTAAACAATCCATGCTGAGATGAAAACTCAGACTGTTTAGATCAGAAAAAGAAACTCTAGACGTATCTGCAGAGCTGTAGGTGCTACACACAGTCAGGAACAGCACAAGGTTTCTCAAACATTCCCTCATTTACACTTATCGTTACTTCTTCTGGTGTTTAAGAGTAATATAGTATCTATCTAACATCCTCCTTACTACTCCATATGAAGGCCAGGCCAAGTTTCTGAACATTGAAATAGAAGCTTGCATGTTAATCTTGGCGATCATAGTGTATGTTAATGTTAGATGACGTCAGAGTTGCAGAAGTTCATAACGAGTTGTTTTTGTGGTTCCGTTTCTATAGACGCTTGTTTAGGGGAAGAAGTTTAGAGTTCTTAAAGTTACAGTAAGCACATTGAACTCTTTTATTTCAAACGATCAAGAGAATTTGATTTCTCATGACAGGACACCTGTAAATTGATTACGCCAGTTGTTGAGTTGGTTGCCCGCTGGTGTCGGTGGTCTTCTGTTGTCACATTTTTGGATAGGTTTTTGCTGTGTGGTCAGTCCTAGTCTTATCCATAACTATGTGGACTTCTGGGATTGATTGGTGCATCTTGCCGTCCGTTTTGTCTGTTCAGCTGGTAGAGACGGTGGCTGAGGTTTTGTACCTGGCATGTGCCGAGGACACATCCCACACGCTTCAGCTGACCCTGTGGGTAACTGCGTGACCCTCTGAGGACGTGCCGATATTCCTGGAAATGTTCCCTGTTTTGATTGGCCGGTGTGTTGGTCTGTTTCAACGGGGGTCCTTTATGTAGGAGGGCCCTCCAGACCGCACGGCGCTCTCTTGCCCCGATACTCGAAGCTATTGAAGGAATGGTGATGGTTTCCATGGCGATACCACCCTGTGTTTCTGAAAGCTTCCCGGGTTTGCTGGGAAAACTCGATCTGGTGAGAGAAAGAGAAATAATTTGGTTGACCACCAGTGGAGCACATGCATGCATTGACCAGATGTATTTAAATACATCATTCAGACATTCACAGAAGCTGACGTAGATTAAGTATTAAAGTAGAGGCTTGGCAGCATTAAGACCATTTTAGGTGGAGTATTTGAAGCCTGTTATTAATCAAGCGTTTTTCTGGCTATAGTCCAAGTTATTTGTGGCATGCACTAATATTCCCTCACTCTAGGACACACTCCTTCACGTGATTCAGTCTGGCTCCTCAGGAGGCATTCAGCATTTGTTTTTTGTTAGAATATCGGTAAGGAAAAATAAAAGAGAGGGGATATAAAATTGTTAGACTGAGGTCTCTACATTATGTTAGAGGGATTATGTGGCTGTTTGGCACTATATTTGCTATTAATTTAGTTATTTTATATGCAAAAGAGTTATTTAAGGTGAAGTTTGTAATTGCTGTGTCACTACACTGTAAAAATTGATTTTCCGAATTTATAAATTGAGTAGAAGATTGAGTATGTTTTCAAGAAAATACTATTTCAGTCTTTCTGTTTCAAAATTCCACATTTAATTTGATAGTTTTTCTTGTTTCTTTGTAATTATTTGTGATTATTTGACATTTCTGAGTGAATATTTTTTCAAAGTAAATCTTGCATCATTTTTCACAAGTGTAGCGGCATATTAATTGCCTATATAATATTATTTTCCAATTAAATTCCAAACATCTGCCATTGTTCAGCAATTACATTTTTTACATCCCTGCCAAACCTGCAGGTGAGGGAGATTATTTGAGATTTTCTTTTTAGGAAAAGTTTGTATTGCAGTTTTCCTGAATGGTAAACTGTATGTACAGCATTTGAAAAAAAAAAAAATATATATATATATATATATATATATACAGTATATGATTTAAATTATTTTGCATGTTTTTATAAATTATAATGTTTCAGATATCACATCACACTATAATTTTTTATGCAGATATATTTGTGAATTCTAAGCATGATATCAGAGTATCTGTATGTATGTGTCCGTGTGTAGTTTTCAGTGTATGTGTTTATGTTGTGCATTAGTGTGGGATATAGGGTAGTACTTTAAATCTAATCTGAATCAGAATGTTTCTGAACAGGATTAGTCTGGACTGGTAGTAGCAAAACACGCACACAATCACTGTATCTTTTCCTTTTTCTGTTTAGTACCCAAACTCTGGAACAATCTACCTAGCGTTGTTCAGGAGGCAGACATACTCTTTCAGTTTCAATCTAGATTAAAGACCCATCTCTTTAACCTGGTTTACACAAAACACACTTCTATAACTCAAATCCGTTAAAGGATTGTTAGGTTGCATTAGTTAAGTCAACTGGAACCGAGACGCTGGGGTTGAGGACGCTTAATTTCAGGCAATATTGTCAACTTGATTGCACAGACACTATTGGAAGAGAGCTGAACTGGATGATGACATCACTGAATCATCAATGAACTGACTTAACTGAAAAATGGACTGTTTGTTATTGTCCTCTTGCATTATTGACACACTATTTTCCTGTTTGACACTGTAAAGCTGCTTTGAACACAATCTGTATTGTATAAAGCGCTATAAACCATTTATATTTATTTGATACCACCCATTTTAGTCTATCCCTACATCTTATTCTATTATATCTATATCACATCTGTACATACTATTTTTGTTTATATGTGTGTGTGTGTGTGTGTGTGTGTGTGTGTGTATTTTATTCACATATCTTTATTTTTTATTATCTGTGTGTTGTTGTTGTCTCTGTGTACTGGAAGCTTCTGTCACCAGAACAAACTCCTTGTATGTGCAAACATACTTGGCAATAAATCTTCTAAATATTGGTGACTTGACTCTAACAGTGGTTTCCAGGCATAAGGAGCATTTACATGTTTATAATGTCAATCTCATGCAAACCTTTGTTTAGCACTCGGTTTGACATCTGTGAGAGCAAACCTGTTGCAAAATATTAAGCAGCACAACTGTTTTTATCATCGATACTAACAAAGAAATGTTTTTAGCTACCAGATAGTGTAGGTATAGTATCTACCAGTAGGGACTGCCAGGAACATGCTAACTAGCTAAACTTGGGTTTTAATATGCATTACTGAAATTTGATTGATGTTGAAAATGTACTGCGTGCCAGATTTAAACTCACTTCAGCTGCACGAGCAGTACTGTAGGCAGCAGCTGAATAGCTGGCATTATGTGGTGAGTCTGTTAGCAGAACCGGAGATGTGGGACCGCCGGGGCTCAGGGTCAGTACAGGTCTGAGTGTGTGTGTGTGTGCTTGACTGAATGTGTGGGCTCAACACTTAGCTGTGCAACTGGCTGTTGGACTTCCTGACTGGAAGACCTCAGGCAGTTCGGGTCGGCAGCAACACATCCAGCACCATCACACTGAACACTGGGGCCCCGCAAGGATGTGTGCTGAGCCCCCTCCTCTTCACTCTGCTGACCCACGACTGCACACCGTCACACAAAGGTGAGCCGCCTGGCCGGGTGGTGCAGTGACAACAATCTCTCTCTGAATGTGGAGAAGACGAAGGAGATTGTTGTTGACTTCAGGAGAGTGCACACTCAGCATGCTCCTCTGTCCGTCAATGGTGTAACTGTGGAGAGGGTGAGCAGCACCAAGTTCCTGGGTGTGCACATCACAGAGGATCTCTCCTGGACTGACAACACCGCAGCACTGGCCAAGAAAGCACAGCAGCGTCTCTACTTCCTCCGCAAACTGAGAAGAGCCAGAGCCCCGGCCCCCATCATGTGCACCTTCTACAGAGGCACCATCGAGAGCATCCTGACCAGCTGCATCACTGTGTGGTATGGCGCCTGCAACGTGTCCTGCCGCAAGACACTTCAACGCATAGTGAGAGCAGCTGAGAAGATCGTTGGTGCCTCTCTCCCCTCCCTTCAGGACATCTACAACACCCGTCTCACCCGCAAAGCCCTCTGCATTGCAGGTGATCCCACCCACCCGACACACAGCTTCTTCAGTCTGCTGCCATCAGGGAGGAGACTGCGGAGTCTCCAGGCCAGGACCAGCAGACTGATGGACAGCTTCATCCATCAGGCTGTCAGGAAGCTGAACTCCCTCCCGACCTTGCCCCCCCTCCCCTCTTTTGCCCCACGCACCACTGAACTCTGACCTTCTGATGGACTCTCCCACTCCCCCCTCCCAAATACACACACACTCACTGTCACTTTAATCAGTCTGAATAAGCTCTTTTGCACTACAAATCATTTTTTGCACTACAATCACTATATCTGCACTGTTGTTTACTTTACTGGTTTGCACTCTATCTGCCATGTGCTTTATATATATATTTTTACATTTGACTTTATTTGTATATTTGTATAGTTGTATTTTGTATTTAATCTGTATTTATGTAATCTGTGTGCACCCAAGGGTCTGAGAGTAACGCAATTTCAATTCTCTGTGTGTATGTGCTGTACATCTGGAAGAATTGACAATAAAGTGAAGTTACATGTGGCTAAGTATGGTGACCCATACTCGGAATTAGTGCTCTGCATTTACCCATCCAAAGTGCACACACACAGCAGTGAACACACACAAACCGTGAACACACACCCGGAGCAGTGGGCAGCCATTTATGCTGCGGCGCCCGGGGAGCAGTTGGGGGTTCGGTGCCTTGCTCAAGGGCTCCTCAGTCGTGGTATTGAAGGTGGGAGAGAGTGCTGTACATTCATTCCCCCCACCTACAATCCCTGCCGGTACGAGACTCGAACCCACAGCCTTTGGGTTATGAGTCCGACGCTCTAACCATTAGGCCACGACTTCCCCCCGAAAAGCTGACTTGACTCGACTCGACTCGACTCCCCTTCTGCTCCAGAGCAGAAAAGACTGAACAAGCCTGGAATCATTGGAGTTTCCAAAACACATTCCTCATTTAACATGCGCTACACACACTGCTTACCAACAAAACACACACTGCTTTCTCTCTTGTGAAGGTCACCATCAGCCTAAATGCTGTCAAACCTTTCCTGAACAACACACTTACGTCATTAAGAGCTTTTACACTGTTTTAGTCTGTCCGCCTGAATCGTTTTGTCGTTCTATCTATCTACTGAGCTGTCAGCTGTTCTGTCTGTTGTTCTATTGATTGTTTTGATATTCTATCATTCTGTTCATTGTTCCGTCTATAAACCCACAAACTTAGACTTCTTTTTCTAAACTTTCAAACAAGTCTTTGTCAAGCCAGCATTCAAAGTCTATATTGACAAACTTTTCTTTCTAGTTAAAAATTTTAACTTTTTTTTTTATTTCAGTTCTTTTCAATTCTACTTTCTTAAATTTAAAATCCAATTCAGCATCCTTTTTGATGGCACAGTTCAAATTTTATTCAAATTCAGGAGTTCTTTTATCAGTGAACTCTTTCCTTTGATCGTTTCAACTTCTTTCTTTTACATGCACTTTGTAATTGGTTTCACTTACACTATTGTGATGAAATCCGGCTTCTTATCTTAATTAGTTTGACACCCTTTGTTGCAGTTGCACGTATGATTAGATAAGAAAAGCCCCTGTACATCATAACTGTATACTGAATTGAAATCAGGCCGGAGAGCAGCAGCCAAGCACAGTTACTCAATCACCCCGTCCCAGCATAAGCCCTTCTAAGCCTCTGCCCCAAGCTAAAGTCCTACTGTTTCACTGCTCCATTCATACACTTCAGTCTCAGATGCTAGATTACACACACACACACACACACACACACACACACACACACACACACACACTCACACTCACACTCACACTCACACTCACACTCACTCACTCTCTGTGAATATGGAAGACAGCATACAGGGTGAAGAGTCTTTTGGATTGTAGAGTAAGAAGAGGAGACGTATTGTGATGTTTTATTCTGAAGACTAGAATGAGGAAGTCTGGAAGTTTCAGGTTGAGAGAGAGAGACTGTTGAGAAGCATTCCCACATTAGTGCCCTGCATGGGGCCTGAGAGAGAGATGTTAGCATGCACAAATATCCATCTTAGTCACAAACTGTTAAGAATGATGTTGCAATCCACTCACTGAGGAACATTTTTAAAAACAGTGCTGGAGGGGCTAATTTGGGGGGGGGGGACCTGCTTAAATCCACCTTACATAAATTCATTGTGCCCTTGCACAAGTGTGTACGCAAAAGAGGATTTAATTTCCAGTTGAACATTAAAGTCCTAAATCACTTGCTGTTTGTGTTTGTGACCTCACACCGTCTGTTTGACCTTTTCTCACATTAGGCACACACTGCGTGTTCAGATTTATCCTGTAAGCTTTGTTCACTTTTGAAGGCCTCAGACTCATTGTTCAGTGGAAGAAACTGTCTTAACCCACCAGGAGGGGGAGCCACTGAGGTGACATTCAATCTGAAGGGGCATCATTACAAGACTCAAACCAACAGGTGAAGTGACCCTCAGAAGGTATTGACACACTAAGTGACGATAAAATGACGTCACACCTCTGTTAACAAATATAGTAGTGCTTTTTCAGAATCTAAACATTTTAGCAACTACTTTTAAGTGACTGTTGTAGTGCTTTAGTGGATATATGAAGTCAATTCCTCAAACGAAAAACCAATAGTGTCCAAATACTTCTATTATTATATCTACTGTTTTACCGTTTAAAACCTGCATTTTGTAAATACAATTATGTATAAAATGAATGCCACTTAATTGAATAGTTTATATTTAATGCAATTTAAGATTAATGCAGTTTAATTCAACATTTTGGAGGTGTGTGGAGTGTGTTGAAGGCATGATTCCATGTTGCATCCTGCAAGTCAGAGTTCGAAATAGCCTAATCCATATCATGACTAAGCGGTTACGAAGGGGAAATCCGAGAAACTACGTTACAGGTGGCACGTCTCTCTTGCGCTCCCTGTGCCAAATGCAGACAGTCAAGTGACGCATACTATTTCATGGAACTACAGGTCACACACACACACCTGTGTGGCCAGCCATTTTAACATATATTCTGTAAAACTACCTTTATGTATTTTTATTTATTAGCATTATTTATCTTCAATTATACTAGTAAAATAAACCAATAGTGTCTAGTATCAGTTTCACTACTACCAATTCTTTGGATACTAATACTTATTCCAGTTGAATACACTAGTATTCAATTGTTCACTTATTCTTTACATACTATTGTTTACCTTCCTTTGCAACTAGTTACTATATCAATAGTTTTACTGATATTTATTTATGAGAAAATAGTATTTGTCACAATTTGTAGGGTTAATTCAGGATAATTGGGCAATTTTACCAGTCATCTCATTAGAAACAAGTGTCCCAATTTACCTCAGTTCATGCTACCTAGTAACACTGCATATTATAGTTACAATTGCTATTTAAAAAAAAAAAAACTAGTTGAAATTTGAAATTGACTAGTTGACTAGAAAATTTGTTGAATAGTTTATATTTAATGCAATTTAAGATTAATGCAGTTTAATTCAACATTTTGGAGGTGTGTGGAGTGTGTTGAAGGCATGATTCCATGTTGCATCCTGCAAGTCAGAGTTCGAAATAGCCTAATCCATATCATGACTAAGCGGTTACGAAGGGGAAATCCGAGAAACTACGTTACAGGTGGCACGTCTCTCTTGCGCTCCCTGTGCCAAATGCAGACAGTCAAGTGACGCATACTATTTCATGGAACTACAGGTCACACACACACACCTGTGTGGCCAGCCATTTTAACATATATTCTGTAAAACTACCTTTATGTATTTTTATTTATTAGCATTATTTATCTTCAATTATACTAGTAAAATAAACCAATAGTGTCTAGTATCAGTTTCACTACTACCAATTCTTTGGATACTAATACTTATTCCAGTTGAATACACTAGTATTCAATTGTTCACATATTCTTTACATACTATTGTTTACCTTCCTTTGCAACTAGTTACTATATCAATAGTTTTACTGATATTTATTTATGAGAAAATAGTATTTGTCACAATTTGTAGGGTTAATTCAGGATAATTGGGCAATTTTACCAGTCATCTCATTAGAAACAAGTGTCCCAATTTACCTCAGTTCATGCTACCTAGTAACACTGCATATTATAGTTACAATTGCTATTTAAAAAAAAAAAAAACTAGTTGAAATTTGAAATTGACAAAAACTTAAAAGTCATTACTATTACTCTGAAGCAATTTAAAATAAGTATTGCTAACAAATTTGATCGATACTAACAATAGATGATGAATGTTAAAGTGGCTTGCCATGAACATACATACTTAAACTTTAGTTTAGTAATCTATGTAATGTCTGGTCTGCATTGCATCTGTTTATATAAGAGTAATGGTAACACACTTTACAGTAAGGCTTCATTTGTTTTCATTAGTTAACCTGAACTAACAATGAACCATATGTCTACAACTTTTATTAATCCTAAATGTCAATTTCAACATTTGATTAAAAAAAAATGCATTCGTAAAAGCTGTATCTGTTAAATTAGTTAATGCACTATGGACTATCATGAACAATTGTAGTTTCTTAACTAACATTAACAAAGATTAATCAATTATGTAAATATATTGCTCATGGTAAGTTCATTTTAGGTAATGCATCGACTAATGTTAACAATTAAGAGATTTTGCTACTAGATTTATTTGCATATGAGTAACGCGCACAAGCTCTACATAAACATTTCCAAACCTTTGTGATACTGAGAATATTATGGAAGCCCGTTTCCGCCACTGAATAAAAAATAAAAAAAGGTAATTGCGACTTTTTATCTCACAATTCTGACTTTTTTTCACAGAATTGTGAGTTATAAAGTCAGAATTGCGAGATATAAAGTCAGAACTGCGAGATATGAAGTCAGAACTGCGAGATATGAAGTCAGAACTGTGAGATATGAAGTCAGAACTGCGAGATATTGTGTTTTTATAGCTTAGCAGCATAAAGGTCAAGTTTTTTTATGTCAGTGTGTTCAGAGGCTTCTGATTGTCTTTGTTTAAAAGCTTAGGATGTTTATTGTATCTCAGTCTCATAAATGATGTCATAAACTTGGGTGTCTCGTAAGTGTAATTTACTAAATAGATGCATTTTGTGAAAATGTTCTGAGCCTCCTATTAGTTCAGAACCATAGATTTTTCTTCTATGGGTCAAAGCAGCAGTTATTTAGCAAAAATGTCCAGATATTGGAATATTGTTGTGTTGTTAGTGCATGTTAGTTTGTGACTTGTGATTGTTAATAATTTTCAGGACAAACAGATATGTAACTCTCTCGTTTTCATGCAATATAAATAATTAGCATTAGCCCTTGAAATGGATTGGTTTCTGCAGACACCTCCTGAGCTCTGTGTGTGTGTGTGTGTGTGTGTGTGTGTGTGTATTTGTTTTGCATCATGGGTCAGACAGCAACAGGATACGCTTGCATTCATGCCTCAGTTCTCTCAGACAGAGCTGCCTGCTTGTGTGTGTTGAGTTGAATTACTGAAATAAATGAATTTTTCCACGACATTCTAATTTATTGAGATGCACCTGTGTATTTGTGTGTCTGTCCAAGTGTCTCTCTTCACTTATACATTATTATAATACGAAACTCAGCAAAGTATTATTATAATCCATATAAAATCTGTCTAAATCAGTTGCACAAATCTTATCTATTTTAAAACACTAATTGATATGTTAGATTAATGTCTAGAATAAAAATTGTGACACCCATGAATTTTACAAGAATTTACATAATTAATAAATATTTAATAATAATAATAAAAAAGCAAATAATCTCCATCCATTTTCAGATTATTTTATTTATTTATTTTACAGATATTGCATTGTTGACTGACTGCATTCATCAAGCTCAACCATTCAACCCTGTTACCAAAGTTTTTTTCAGAAAACAGAAGTTTATCAATAATAACAAAGTAGCATTTGCTTCCAAACTAGCTATACTTATTTATTCCAATTTAGACTGAATTTATCATTTGTGCATATCATTTTTTATATATGTTATATTGTTAGAAAATAAAATCACAAGGTTTTAAAATATTTTGGTTACAGGTTGCAAACACTGCATACTCAAACAATATTTAATTTGCCTTCCTGAAGTAGATTACCATTTTTAAGTGTTTTAGGGCCCTATTTTGTTCCCTGTTTGTGAAAATTACCTCTGATCCAACATAATTTTAAACCTGAACACAATATAGACTCTCTCTGTTTGCTATCTAAAGCTCTTTTTCAGACTCACTGAGAGGCTGAAATGACAGCTTTTGAGTCTATTGAGCACCGCTACTGTACTTTTCTGTACTACCCTCCCTCTCAGCCCATCAGCAGGTACCCTGAAAGATGAATCAACCAATCTGTGCACTTATGAGATGTTTCAGTGGTCAAGGTCTTTATTTCAACTTCTTAGCCAAACACTGCTTCACAAGGTTTCACAATGTAGTGCTAACAGCCCTTTGGAGTCCAGTCTTTTGATTAAATATGTGTGCAAGTGTGTTTTAAATCTCCATAACTCTCAGATTTGAGGGCAATAGGAGTGTGTTGGTGCTCATGTGGTGGATGGTGAAAGTCTTTTTCAATGACATTTTCCCTTTGCTGCCCCCTGCTGGAGCAACACAGTTATGTTCCCTCGGTGCTTTGACACACAGGCTGAATTTGGAATTGCATACTATCATACTATTTAGTAAGAGTAGTATGCTATATCAAACCAAACCTGTGAAAAGTACAGCATGTTCCAGGAGTGTTTGAAATACTAGTATACTGCTTCTGTAGCATATAGTATACTATGTATAACAGTGTGAATTTTCTCTATGCATGAATGGATGATATTCTACTATTCTCTAAATGTGCAGCATACAGCAGAGCACACTTCACTGGGCTGTATCCCACAATGTAATATGCTTCACTTGTTCAGACTCATTTGACTGAACTTCTAAAAGTGAACAAATTTTTACACAAACATGGACTGAAAATGCAAATAACAGAGATACTCACTGGAATTAAAAACAAGTAATGTGGTTAGGTCATGTGACAAGAGTTTAGCATGCTCCAGTTTGAAACATTTTGCATATGCTACTAACCCTGATAGCACACGTACATCACGGAGACGTCTATTTGACGTCTGCAAGATGTTTTTCTCATCTGTGTGTTTGCTCAGCTGCAATACGTCTATAGGACGTTTCCTATTAGATGTAAAATAGACGTTTATAAGATGTTTATGATTTAGAATGTATGTAAAACTGACAATTGAAAGACGTCTATCAGAGGTTTGTACACAGCAGATGCTTTCCAGATGAAGCGATCTTTAACAGACATCTTGCCGATGTACGTGTGCTATCTGGGAAATGACATACAATTGAAGAAGAAAAAAAAGCACTATACATTATAATGACATACTTTTTTTAAAAAGCAGTATACAGTATATACTATGTCTACAATGTATAATAGTATACTAATACACTATCTTGTGTGTTTGAGAAATGTAACAGTCTGTCATCCCAAAAATGGGATGGGAGTAAAAAAAAAAAAATCCTTAAATACTTTGCGCAGGATAAAAAGACAAAGTATTAAATGCACTGATGCATGACAATGTGTGTAAGAGTGTGTATAAACGGATCTAATTCCTCTTGGGAACCAGTCAGACCAGCTCTCCGCGGTGTGTATTCATGTGTACATTTCTAATATCCTCAGGGCTGTTCATTTATGAATGCTCAGGATTGAGGAGAAACATCTCTCTCTTTATCCTCATATTCCTCTCTCTTTCAACACACAGGCACACGAACCAGCACTAAACCAATATAAGACCATCAGCAGTATATTATGGCTACATATGATTCTATCACAGTATCATTCTAGGTGTTTTTTGTGAATTAGGCTAATCGTAGTAGGCTTATTATGTTCAAGTCAGAAAAATGATTTGCGTGAAATGACGTTTGTGAATGCTTCAGAACCATTTGCCGTGATAAAGTACCTCAGTAATGTTATACGCAGTAGCAAAGGCTTTTTAATTCTCCTTTCTCACAGCACGTCCACAACCAAACAATTCATTAGTATCGCTTACAAAAAAATTGCAATTGTAACCATGCACTATAAAATATTTTAGATTTTTACAGTAGTATATAATGAACTGACTGTATGTGATTCACATGTAGAATTATTATAATGCTCTGTAATAGTGCTTCAGCATGAATCAATTATACAGTTCCTGGTGTTTTTGCTGTCTCTGCTGTAGTTTGTGACAACAAAGCTACTTCTTATGAAATGATTGTTTAGGATTCTTTTGTAAATAATTTCATTGGGTGTTGATATCTGCATGCAAAATAAACCAGTGATAACAACCACAACAGTACTGCAAATTTCCTCCACTTTAACTGAATATTAAAATATATAATAATTACAATATAATATTATATAATCGTATTATATTATTATAATAGGAAAAAAATTACATTTATTTACTATTTTACTAATAAATATATATATATATATATATATATATATATATATATATATATATGTGTGTGTGTGTGTGTGTGTGTGTGTGTTCACAGGTTTCACATTTCACCGTCAGTGTTTCATACATTTTTTTTATTGTAGTTTGTTAAATCCTGTCTTGGTTTTACAGTGTAGCTTCCATCAAAATACCATAGTGACTACAGAGCTACCACTGTAAAACTGTTGTGATATTGTCTTGTTAACTATAATAAACTGTTACTTTGGCAATATTTTGTAAGGTGTACATATGCAAGCTGTGAACTAAGTTAGTCTCTTAACTAGCTGTAACGAAATGTGTTTGTTCTGCTCACAGGTTTCCTGAGCTGTTGGCTGCCGGACACGCTGTAATTGAGCAACAATCAGACAGAGCACTGAAGAAGAGGGTAGTGTGCTCGAAAAACGACACCGCTGGAAGAGATGGTAAGATGAGTTAACACACATTACACACACAAAGCCTAACAAACCCACAGACCACAGCCAAACTATCTGATGCGTAGTTCAAACTAAAATTGCTGTGATTTTTATTTGTACATACTATTTTTTTTATTCTAATTGGGTGATCTCAGGTCAGAATAAGTTATGCTACAGACCAGCCTTTATTCAAATGTCTAGATATGTGAGCCAAGCCCAACACATTCCCATCATTCCTTAATGCGTTACTGAACATGATACATATGTTAAGAAATATTTGACATGTCTCTAGTGTATTGTTTCCGCCCTGAATTGAGTGTGTCATCTTATTTAATCACTGGGTGTTTAACTGTAAATGGCATTATGTGCTCTATGACTAGTGTGTGTGTATTGAATTTACACTATATATAAACACTAAACACTTTTTTTTTTTAAATATTAGTTTTAATTAATTCTAATACAGTTGTAAAAAAAACTGTAGTGGTAGGATTTGGGTTGGGGTTAGTAGTGTTTTTTTTTTTTATTCGATCAAAAGGGTGCTTCTACTAAATACTGAGCAAAGGGTCTGAATACTTAGGACCATGTGATATTTCAGTTTTTCTTTTTTAATAAATCTGCAAAAATGTCAACAATTCTGTGTTTTTCTGTCAATATGGGGTGCTGTGTGTACATTAATGAGGAAAAAAATTAACTTAAATGATTTTAGCAAATGGCTGCAATATAATAAAGAGTGAAAATTTTAAGGGGGTCTGAATACTTTCCGTACCCACTGTATATTTTTTCTGGCATTCATTTTTTTATACTTTCTTTGTGATTTTGAATACTCACTGTTTGTTGCTATCCACTCCTGCTGGTCGAGGCCGTGTGACAGGGCAGAGAGGGTCAGAAGGTCGAGATCAGTGATGCGTCTGGACAGGAAGTGATCTGTCAGGTAAGGTTTGACCTCAGCAGACGGGACTAAATGTAGATTGTTATTCTTTCTGTCAACAGAACATTCAATGAGAATTCACAGCAGAGCAATTTATTGCACTTTGATAAAAGCTCTTTTTTTATAAATAAAGAATAATCGGTTATCGGTATCGGCCAAAATGTTCATATCGGTGCATCCCTATATAAAATTCACTAATGAATTGTGCACGGTATGACCAGGAATGAAGGGTCAAACGGAGTCATTTTAAACATTTATGCATTTAGCAGATGCTTTTATCCAAAGCGACTTACAAAAGAGGAACAAAAGCAATTTGTTAAGGAGCAAACAATATTTGTAATATACAATGCCAGGTTTATTTGACAACTAGCTTAGGAAGCAAGCTAGAGAAGAGGAGAAATGCAGAAAAGGAATCTCATTTGAAATGTGCTGATATATAAATGGCTGATTTTGTGATGTGAAATTATTTTGCAGTGAGCATGTCTACTAGTTAATCGGTGTTTAAATAGTTAAGCTGGTGCGCAAATAGCAAACAGTTTGTGAATACACACAGAGTGACGTTACACAAGGACACACAGGGATGTAGTTTAGTTGTCATGTGTGCACACGGGGCTGGTCGATTACTGTATGTACTGAAAGGGGTTGTTTTCACTTGTTCATGTTTTCCGACAGCATTAGTGAGCAATCAGCACATTCTCACTGGAAAGGGTGCTGCTTTCTACTGTAGACAACGCTAATAATTTTAATTCATGCAAATGAGAAAAACCACACAGACGCTGGCCTGACAGAGCGCGCTGAGTGTGTGAACACAGAGAAAACAGACCTCTTGAGTTCAGCCTTGAAATAACTGATAGTGTGTGTTTGTGTGTGGTGGGAGGTTCGAGACGGTGGCCTTGTCCTGACTGATTAAAACACAGGCTGAGAGGTGGAATATCTTCCATATGGTCGCACAAGAAGCATTTGGATACTTTTGCCACTCTTCTGCAGTGTATAAATGTTATTGCATTAGACACAAACTATCAAACCAAGTGATATTTATTTTAAAGAAACATCACATGTACTTTTTAGTCAAAGCATTGCACAAAATAAGTGTGGTAGATTTGCAGTGTTACAACTAGAGAGATATAGAGAGGTAGAAAGAACTATCTATATCTATATCTATATAGTGTGTACGTGGGACATATATAAATTGGCTCAGCTTTTTGCTCATTACTTACTGAGCTGATGAGAATCTTATCACACCATGTTGAGTTATTACATGATTTAATCTAAATCAAGCACTCTGATTAGTGTTTTTTTTTTTTTCAAACCTCAGCAAGATCCCTTAGGCATCACCTCCAGCTCATATCATCAGTGTACTGAAATTCTATGTTTACAATGCCTTTAATGGCTTATTATGTATGTGTGTGTGTATATATATATATATATATATATATA